TTGGTTCACTGCCTTTGGGCCCCCCCTCCCCAGGCGCCCGGGATCGGCCCTTCCGGGGCCACGCCGGGCCCGCACCCGCCGCAGGTGACAGGTGGGTAGAGAGGCCAGGCCCCAGGTGTGCGTCCCCTGGCCGGCCTCATCCGCGCGCCCGGGCCCAGGCCGGGGTCCCGGGCCGAGCGGCCTGGGCCGCGGTCCCACCGCCAGCGTCGCCTGCGGTCAGCGCGAGGCGCTCCTATCCCCCCCCTCCAGAGGGTCCCACCTCTGCGACCTTGCTGGCCCCTCTGGGGAGGGGCGAGCCCTTTCTCCTCCTGGTGCGCGAGTCACAGGCCTTGAATGGAAGGGGAGTCTCTGCCTCCTAGGCCATCCCTGGTCCCGGGGGCTCCCAACTCCGAATTCTTCACCCAAGCTGGAGGAAGGCTGGAAAGGTGGGGCTCAGTAGGTACCCACAGTAGCCTCTGCTGGGGTCAGAAGGGCGCTGGCATGTATCCTTGGATGTATCAGTGTGAGGGCTTCCAGAGAAGTTTGTTTAGAGCGCTCTGGACCCGTACTGACCCCAGGCCCAGGATGTAGGCAGCCCCCTGACCATGGGCAGTGACTGTCCCGATCTCTGATCTCAGTCTGCCCAGATGGCCTCTGGACCTCCTAGGCACAGCAGATCCCTCCTTTTCTGTCTGTTAGAAGTTAGGAGACTTCCCTGGTGGTCCAGTGGTTAAGACGCCACGGTTCCACTGCAGGGGGCACTGGTTCAGTCCCTGGTCGGGGAATGAAGATCCCACATGCTGTGTGGCGCAGCCTTAAAAAAAAGTTAGAAACCATCAGGGGAGGGGTAACCTGCCCACATTCCGCCCCCTTCTTCGTCTGTGGCCTTAAGCGTCCCTGTGGGAGGACCCAAAAGGGCTGAACTCAGAGTCGCCCCAGCTCTCAGAGCCTGGGGTCCCCCAGCAGAATGGGCCCACTGAAGCCCAGCCTCAGTCGGCAGAATGTTGTCTGTGGCCAGGGGCCTGTCGTCTCTGGAGTGGCGCTGGTGGGCCTGTAGGTTGGGGACAGAGAGTCTCTGGAGGGTGGAGGTGAGGAGGTCAGCCAGGTGGAGAGTGGCCGAGGGATCCAGCATGGGGCAGCCGTCTGGTAGGAGGGGACCCGGCGGGAAACAAAGCAGGGCAGGGGGTCAGGGAGGGTGGCTCGGCTGGCACAGGGACCTGAAGCCCGTGCGGCAGGGTCCTTGGTCTGCTCCCCCTGGAGAGGGTGTGTGCGCAGTTGCGGAGTGCGCTGGGGCCGTCGATGCCCACCTTGGCCATCTTCCAACTGTGTCCTGGGGAGAAGGATGCGAGGGCACCCACCTGTGCCCCAGAGCGTGGCCTTGGGTCTGGGTGGGGCTGTGGGGGAAGGTGCTTCTAGGTGCGGGGCCAGCACAGCCTGTGAGCCGGCAGCCACGCTGGTGTCATAATTGGCCCCCGAGGGGTGGCACTGGCCTCCTCCCCCGGGGCACTCCGCCTCTCCTGGAGCCATCCCCAGCTAAGCGCCAGGTCCCAGGTGCATGAGAGGTGCGTGATTCTCTCACTCTCTGGGGTTGTGCGTCTGGAGGCAGGGAGCCCCCCGGCGCTGGTGAAGGCTTCAGGGCAGGGCTAGATTCCTCTACGCTGATAGGGTTTTCTGCGTCATCCAGGGAGACTTCGGCTGAGCAGCCCCTCCCCTAAACCGGAACTCCCCCCGCCCCCGCCCATCCACCCCTTCCTCTGCTTTCCCTTGTGGCCAAAGACACAGGCGGGCAGGCTCCCCTTCCTCAGGCCGGAGAGTGGGCCTGTCTGGGGCAGGGTCGAGAGCGGCCCATTTCAAGTCCCGAGTTGGGCCCGGTGGACCTCACGGGCTGTCCGCTTGCTCTGCAGAGATGACCGATCCCTTTTGTGTTGGAGGAGGCCGCCGGCTCCCGGGGTCCAGCAAGAGTGGGCCTGGGAGGGATGGCGGCCGGAATGAGGTCCGACTTCCCATGCTTCACGACCCGCCGAAGCTAGGTAAGAGGAGTGAGGGCAAGGTCGACTCCAGGTCGCCACGGGCGCCAGCGCTGGGCGTGGGCCTCCCGGGATGTCCAGCTCCTGAGAGGGAGGAGAGGTCCACCCTGGGTGGGCCACGGCCTCCTGCCCCTCGTGCCTCAGTGCAGGGGAAGTGAGGCTCCTTGCAGGCGGGACCAGCCCCCTGTGTGGCAGACAAGGCTGCAGGGAATGCAGCTTCTGAGCCTTCGTGTGTCGTGTGCTGCAGGGCTGCCGGTAGGCCGGGGTGGGCCGACAGTGCCCAGCCAGGCCCCACTCTGCTTTGACCCGGGAAGTCCAGCCAGCGACAGAACGGAAGGGAAGAAAAAAGGGCGTCCGAAAGCTGAGAACCAGGCGCTCCGAGACATTCCTGTGAGCTCCCCGAGGGCTGGGTGGGACTCTCACAGGGTCTGCCGGGGAGCCCACTGCCTTGGCAGGCTCGCCTGCTGCGTGTCCAGTGCCGAGCCCTCAGCCCGGATCCACTGGCTGCTCCGTGTGCGAGGGCTTCGAGAGACGGCCTGGGGCCCAGCGAGTCCTGTGCGGGGCTCCCACAGGCCTGGGGACAGTGCTGAGTCGGGGGCTGGGCAGCAGAGGCCTGGGTGGCTGCAGGGTCGACAGCCTGGCCTTTCCCACGCCCAGCTCTCCCTGATGAACCAGTGGAAAGACGAGTTCAAGGCGCACTCGAGGGTGAAGTGTCCAAACGCTGGGTGTTGGCTGGAGTTCCCCAGCATCTACGGGCTCAAGTACCACTACCAGCGGTGCCAAGGGGTAAGGGGCTGCGGCCTGGGGAAGGGGAGGCCTGGGGCCCACCCTGCCCTGGCTGTTGGCTTGGGGGTGTCCACGCCTGCCCTCTCCACCCAGGGTGCCATCTCAGAAAGGCTGGCCTTTCCCTGCCCCTTCTGTGAGGCTGCATTCACCTCTAAGACCCAGCTGGAGAAGCATCGCATTTGGAACCACATGGACCGACCCCTGCCTGCCCCCAAACCTGGGCCCGTGAGCCGGCCAGTCTCCGTCAGTCGGCCCGTTGGGGTCAGCAAGCCCATTGGAGTAAGCAAACCTGTCACAGTCAGCAAGCCCATCGGCATCAGCAAGCCGGTGACGGTCAGCCGGCCCGTGCCGGTCACCAAGCCAGTGCCGGCCAGCAGGCCCGTGCCAGTCACCAAGCCAGTGCCGGCCAGCAGGCCCGTGCCGGTCACCAAGGCTGTGCCGGTCACTAGGCCTATACCGGTCACCAGGTCTGTGCCAATCGCCAAGCCAGTAACAGTCAACAAACCAGTGCCGGTCACCAAACCAGTGACCATCAACAAGCCGGTGTCTGTGACAAAGCTTGTGACAGTTACGAAACCCGTGCCAGTTGCGAAGCCGGTGACGGTCAGCAGGCCCATTGTGGTCAGTAAGCCGGTGACGGTCAGCAGGCCCATTGCCATCAGCAGACACACGCCGCCCTGCAAGATGGTGCTGCTGACCAAGTCTGAGAACAGAGCTCCTCGGGCCGCGGGGAGGAGCAGCGGTAAGAAAAGGTATGGGGACTCCTGCTGGGTGGGGTTGGGTGTCCCTGGCTGCAGCTCAGGGGTAACAGGGCCCAGAGTGGGCCCTCCTGCCCCTTACCTCCCTGCTCTCTGCAGGGCCGCAGACGGCCTGGATGCCTGCCCCCTCCCGCCCAAGCAGGCGAGGCCGGAGAACGGCGAGTACGGCCCGTCCACCACAGACCAGAGCTCAGCCTTCCAGCTGAGCACAGACCCCAGCAGCAGCCCCCTTTCTCTGGGCAGCAGAGCCTTGGGGGGCAAGGAGGCGCCGAGGGCCGCGGGCCCTGTGTCCCCGCCTGAGGAGGGTGCGGAACGCACGAAGCACAGTAAGACGAGAGCAGGGGGCGGCGGCAGGCGGGGGCGGCGGCCAGCCGGCCCGAGCCTCCCAACGGTTATTTGACCAGAGCCTTGTCCTGTGTGTTCTCTCCCCCGAGTCAGGAAGGAAACAGAAGACACCCAAGAAGTTTACGGGTGAGCAGCCCTCCATCTCAGGGACTTTCGGACTCAAAGGTGAGGCCTGGGCCAGCCGGGCACCTGTGGGGCCAAGCACACGCGGCGGCCGCGCCCTCAGCCTGCACCTGCCCCTCCCGCGTGCGCTCGTAGGCCTGGCCAAGGCGGAGGACAAAGCCCGCATCCACCGTGCCAAGAAGCAGGAGGGGCCGGTCCCTGAGGAGGTGCGGAAGAGGGGGCCAGCCCCCACCAGCGCTGTCAGCAAGGAGGTGCCGGCCCCAGGGGCCCACCCAGCTCCAGGTGGGAGCTGCCGGGGGGCAGGGCACAGGCCGGGTCTTGAGGGTGGGGCAGGTCCCGAGCCGCGGGGACGGGGCCGAGCATGGACCCTGGGTTCTGTGCTTGGCGTCCAGGGCATCTGGGAGCTCCTGCCTGCCCCTGAGGCCCTGGCCCTGCTCCACAGGTGGCCCTGAGGAGCAGTGGCAACGGGCCATCCACGAACGGGGGGAGGCCGTCTGCCCCACCTGCAACGTGGTCACCCGAAAGACCCTCGTGGGGCTCAAGAAGCACATGGAAGTGTGTCAGAAGGTGAGGCTGCCCCGTGCCTGGGGGGGGAGGCGCCCCAGGGCCGGCCTCTCACACGCGCACCCGTCTGCAGCTGCAGGATGCGCTGAAGTGTGAGCACTGCCGGAAGCAGTTCAAGTCCAAGGCGGGCCTCAACTACCACACCATGGCGGAGCACAGCGCCAAGGTATGCCGCTGGTCTGCCCCCGCGCCTGCCCGGCTCTCACTGCTGGCCTCCCGCTAGCAGGGCTTAGTGGCTCCCGTGCCTGGCTAGGGACGTCCGCGGCTGCAGCCCCTGGGCAGGGGCGGGGCCCTGTGGTGGCGGGGGCACTGAAGCTGGCCTGCCCCGCAGCCCTGTGACGCCGAGGCCTCGGAGGCGGGCGAGCGCGAGGAGCGGGAGTGGCTGCGGAAGGTGCTGAAGCAGGTGGGGCGGCTGCGCTGCCCCCAGGAGGTCAGTGGGCCACGTGGGTGCGGGCGCCAGGCGGGATGGGGCCCGCCGCTCTCCGGCCACTCACCTGCCCCCGGAACCCCAGGGCTGCGGGGCCGCCTTCTCTAGCCTCATGGGCTACCAGTACCACCAGCGACGCTGCGGGAAGCCGCCCTGCGAGGTGGAGACCCCTTCCTTCCCCTGCACCCACTGCGGCAAGACCTACCGCTCCAAGGCCGGCCACGACTACCACGTGCGCTCGGAGCATGCGGCCCCGGTGAGCGGCCCACAGCCCGGCCTCCTGTCCCTGGGGCACCAGGCAGGCGCGCCCATGTGCTGCCTGCCACGTGTGCTCCGCCTTCCCTCCCAGGGGCCCACGTGCGTCGTGGGTCGGGGGGAGTGAGCCTGGGGTGGGCTCCCGTGTCCCCCGTGCGCTTGCCATACGTGCTCTCTGTGGCTCATCTGGCCTCCCCCTCCCCACCCCCGCAGCCCCCCGAGGAGCCTGCGGACAAGGGCCCCGAGGCTGAGGACCTGTTGGGTGTCGAGCGGACCCCCAGCGGCCGCATACGCCGCACGTCGGCCCAGGTCGCTGTGTTCCACCTGCAGGAGATCGCGGAGGACGAGCTGGCCCGAGACTGGACCAAGCGGCGCATGAAGGACGACCTGGTGCCCGAGACTGCGCGGGTGAGCCCAGCCTCCCAGTCTCTGAGCCTGAGCCCCCGTGACCTGGGAGGGCGTGGTTGAGGGCTTTCTCAACTCAGCAGGGAGCGTCTGGGTCACCTCCAGCCCAAGCTCCGAGCTTACTCTGGCACCCGCCCACGTCTGCAGCTCAACTACACGCGGCCCGGCCTTCCTGTGCTGAACCCCCAGCTGCTGGAGGAGTGGAAGAACGAGGTCAAGGAGAAGGGCCACGTCAACTGCCCCAATGATGTGAGCCAGGGAGGCTGGGAAGGCATGGGAACGCTGGGACTCAGGACGGAGGGCCCAGGGGTGGCCTTGGGGGGAGCCCTCCACGTGGCCCCTGAAGGGTCCTCAGATGGAGCCTCACAGGCAGAGGGGCCTTGACCTCAGCCCTAGCGGCCCAGCCTGCCCACACCCCTGGGCAGGGGTGACTCCTGGGATCAAGTCCCCCCGCTTGCCCCAGATGGGCCCTGGGTCCCCCGGGCTGGGCAAGGGGTGCACACTGGTGGGGGGGCACCTGCCGGAGGGCCCGCCCCCACGGTCGCCTCCTGCCCCCAGTGCTGCGAAGCCATCTACTCCAGCGTGTCCGGCCTCAAGGCCCATCTGGCCAGCTGCAGCAAGGTCAGTGTCCAGGCCCTCCCGGCGGCCAGGCGTGCGTGCTTGGTGCTCCCAGCTGCCCCCCAGGGGTCCGCGCAAACCGGGTGTGCGCCCCTGCCCCTGTGGGGCCAGGGCCAGCGCCTCCTGGGATGCTCGCCGCCTCCAGCCCCAGCCATCAGTCACTCAGTCTCGGGTGGTTCTGCCTATGGGGGTTCCTCGTCTGTGCTGGGACAGCCCGACCTGGGCTTGGGGTACGGGCCCTTGGCTTCCCAGGAGCACCTGCCTCTTCTCACCCTCTCCTTGCTTCCCGCCTCCCCTGCAGTGGGGGCACCTTGGTGGTCCTGCCACAGAGTGGCCTCGTGGGTCCCCAGAGCACACCTGTCAGGCACCCATTCAGATAAGCCACACAGGTCGGGGTGGTCCTGGCTGCATCTGGGTACTTCTGGTCCTCCAAGGGCCAGTGGTGGGGCCCACTTCCAGGGGCTGGACTGCCCTGTGCCTTCCAGGGGGACCACCTGGTGGGGAAGTACTGCTGTCTGCTGTGTCCCAAGGAGTTCAGCTCCGAGAGTGGCGTCAAGTACCACATCCTCAAGGCCCACGCGGAGGTGCGTCAGGGACGGGCCTGGTGGGAGAGCCCTGCTGGGCCTGCGGCTGAATGCGCCGGCCCCACGGAGGGGGCTGGGAAGGGCAGGGGCGACAGGGTGACGGCTCTTCACTTGCGCGAGTGGGCGACGTTGAGGAATCTGCTGGTTTCTCTTCAGAGCAGCCTCCGGCTTCCCTAGAGAAGCTTGGGTGTCCCCAGGCCCCGGGTCCCCTGCCGCCTCGCCCTCCAGGGTCCTGGGCCCCAGGGTTTCCATCGCTGCTTCTCTCCCCCAGAACTGGTTCCGCACTTCGGCAGACCCGCCTCCCAGACACAAGGGCCCAGACTCCCTGGTGCCCAGAAAGGAGAAGAGTCCGGCTGGCGGGAAGAAGCGGGGCCGCAAGCCCAAGGAGCGACCCCCTGAGGATCCAGCCCCTGGGACGCCTCCCCACCGGGACGACTGGCCCCCAGGAGGCAGAGACAAGGGGGCCCGGGGCTCTGCTGGCCGGAAGGTGGGAGCCGGCAAGGCGCCCGAGAAGTGAGTTTGCAGCCTGGCAGGTGGGTGGGGCCCGGCCCCCTCTGTCCAGGGTGGGGCTCCAGAGCCTCCTGCCCTCCAGGCCTCCACCCCCCACCCCTGCCTGTTCATCTGTCCAGCGGGGGCGGCCAGCCCTCTCCCCTCCCCGAGGGTGGCCCTGCCCCACGCGGGCTGCCGCAGGGCACCTTGGGCAGGGGCTCCCGGGAGGGCCAGGGCAGCTGCAGAAGTGCAATAGTCTGGAGGGACCTTCGTGGGCCGGCAAGAGGACGGGCTCCAGCCTGGGCTTCGGTGCTGGGGCGGCACGGAGCAGGCAGGTGGCCTCTGGTCCTCGGCGTGTGAGCTCCGCGCCCCATCGGGGGTCCCTGGTGGCCCGTGGTTCTGGGCTGATGAGGGTACCTGAGCAGCCTCACCTCGTGACCCGACACTGGAACCCCAGCACCCCCCAGCTACCTCCCGGGACAGACCCCAAGTCTGACAGCTGCCGTGCTGACCTGCCCGCCCCACCGCACCCCACCCCACCCCCACCCCGCCGTCTTTTGGTTCCTGCACTTCTGCTCTCTACCTCTCCAGGCCCACCTTCCCCTGCGGTGCAGCCAGCCCCTGCTGCGCTCGGGCCCTGCCCCACTGGCCCGTGTCCATCGTGGTGGCAGAGGCAGCCCTGCTCCACCGTCCCCAGTCGTGCTCCCCACTCGGGGCCAGGCAGAGGCTCTGCTTCTGCCACTGCAGGACTGTGGGCAGGGGCCACGTGAAGTGAGCTCTGGCCTCAGCCTCCAGCTTTGCTAATGCCGCTGGCCTGAGTCGGGTAGCCTGATGGGTTTAGGGATGGGCCAGTCTGGGTTCCGGGGTCACCTGGGGCCCACGGGCATGAGGGGCGGGGACCTGGGGCCTGGCTCGAGTAGTGACCACTGTGGGAAGCATCCTCTCTTGCTGGCCTGGGTTGGCCCGTGGCCAAGCTCCCGTGGGAGCCTCCTTCCCCCTTTTTTAGCTGCTCCTTCGTTTCTGGTTGTGTGGCCTTTTGATGTGAGAGCCGAAGGCCCCGGGGGAGCTTGGCCAAGGTCATAGTAGGTTGGTGGCAGCTCCAGGGCTCTGTCTCGGCTCCCTTTGGTGCCCTGAGGGCAGCGAGGTCTGTAGGTTGGGTCAGGTGGAGTCCAGGGCTCCCTGAGGATGCAGCCACGTGGTTTCTGACCTCCTGCCTGGGCCCCACCTTCCAACCATGGCGTCGCTGGGACAGGGAGGATGCTCGGAGCTGCTGGGTTCGGGTGGAGGCTCTTTTCCACTGGGGGGTGGGGGAGGGCTGAGGGCTCGGCCTTGCCGACCCCGGACGATGTGAATCTTGATGTTTGCCCGTGTGCGTGTGTCTCCTGGGTGTAGTGGATGCCAGTCTTGTTGCTGTGACAAGTAACAAACCTTTTTTTTAATTCTGTTTTTTATATGAAAACACAACAATCTGACATTTTGGTGCTAAGGGTTTCCTGGTGCCGACGGTGGATCTGGGGGCTGGGCTGGGGTCCCTCTCCTGCTCAGGGAGGCGGTGCTGACTGGGCACCCCTCTGCCCCCCAGCTCCTGTCCTCCTCCAGTCCTTGGAGAGGAGGGGCTCCAATCTGGGCTCAGCTCTCCTCACCCCGCACTAGGGGGACAGTTTCCAGGAGGGCTTTGGGGCCGAGGCGCCATGCTGCCCGTCTCCGGCTTCTTCCTTCAGCCAGAGTGCTCTGACCCTGGGCAGTCCTGGCCTGATGTGCTGGGGGGGGTGTGTGTGGAGACATGGGCTCCCCCCAACTCACACGCACCTGATCTGATCAGGGGGTAGAGGCCTGGGCAGGTGCAGGTAATCCAGCGTCAAAGGCTGAGGCAAGCGGCATGACTTCGGGGCAGGGGGGCTTTCTTTCCTGTGTTCCTGGGTGTCACTGGGGTACAGCTGGTGGAGGTGGAGGTGGGTCGGGCAGCCACTGCAGGGGCAGCCTCCGGGGGGAGGGTGGGGAGCAGGCACTGATGGGAGCCCCACGCGCACTTTGTCCTTGTCACCAATGGTTGGAGGAGGTTGGACCTCAACACCTCTGCTGGGGATAGCTGCCTGCCCCGGCCTCTCAGGTACTTGGCCCTTGGGGAGCGGGGGCTGGTTTTGGCTGGGGGATGCGTTTCATTGTCACCCCCAAAAGTCCACGTGTGGTCCCTGGCGTGGGAACCCCACCAGATATGTGGGAAGAGGTGGGGTCCTGGGTAACTTGATGTTTAGCACTTTAACCCCCTTCTTTGTCTTTAAGGTGGGCGTGGGGACTGCTGCCAAGAGTGGCACTGGGTTGGACCCCTCTCTCTCCCCTCTTCCCTCCCGGCTTCCATGCTCTGGCTGGTGGGTGGCAGCGGCAAGCCAGTCCTCAGAGCCCTCCTCCTACGGTGGCAGAGCCCTGGGTGCCTCAGCAAGGTCTGCCCACTTCCCACTCTGGTGGGAGTGCAGCCAGGTAGCCTTGACTGACACCTTCAATGAGAGGGACTGAGCGGCAGACACCCCCCCTCCATGCGGTGGGTGTGGACCCTGCCTGAGACCCCAAACCCAGGGCACAGTGTCAGGTCCCTTTCTGAAGATCTACCTCTGGCCCAGCCCACCCCCCCTTGCCCCGAGAACAGGAAAGGGTCGACTCGAGGGACCGACACGTCGCACGAAAATAGGATGCACTTTTCTGCTCGTGTGAGGGCAGATGAGTGTCCCCTGGTGTGACTGGTGGCCCTCCCAGTCGCAGGCCCCTCCTGTCCCTCTGGTTTGGAAGGGAAAGAGTGGGTGCACCCTGACCCGTAGAGGGGAGGGCTGTCCCGGTGTGTCCCCCTGGGTGGGCCCCAGGCGGCTGTCCTGGAGGCCTGGGGTTTCGGGGGCAGCCAGCACCTCCCGCCTGGCAGCCACACATCCTGTACTTGGGGTTTCTCGGTTTGGGTGTTTTTAATGCCAGTTCTCCGTAATAAGTGCATTTCGAAAGAGAGGTTCCGGCTATCAACTTGTAACCATATATATACGTATATATTCTATCTACAAAGTGTTTATTTGCAAGATGTTTTGACGGTGAGCTCGGGCCCCGCCCGCCTTGTGACCATCTGTCCCCGGTCCTCGTCCCCGCCCCCCGGCCCCAAGTGGCACGGGGGCGGGCCATCAACTGTATGTATTAAAAATGACTGTATCAAATAAATGTTTATTGATTTTTTTCCAGGGGTTTTGTGCAGCTGAGTTTGTGGTAAAGCGCGGGTGGGGGCCTTCCCCGTACTCGCGCCGCGCGGCCTCGTGGGGCTTCTGGTTTGCGGGGCGCGCGCGTCCTGGTGGGACTTGTAGTCCGCGGGGCACGCGCAGCCTGATGGGAATTGTAGTCCGGGGGCGCGCTGGCGGGCGCCTGGTGCCGGGCCCCGAACCACAGCTTCCGACAGCCTGTGCGGCCGGCCCCCGAGCCCCGCCCAGCCCGCGGAGAGGCCCCCGAGCTCATGGCTGCGCTCCCGGCCTCAGCTGAAGCCCCCCGCCCGGTGCCGCCGCCCCCAGCGGCTGGAGACGAGCCAGACCGGCTGGAGGGGAAGAGCGAGGACCGGTAGGCGCCGCGCGCCCCTCGCGTCTCGTGGTGGGGGCGGCTCCGGGAGCCAAGCCTGGACCAGCGGAGGGTCCCCGGGGCCTGGCGGTGGCAGGCCCTCGCGGACGGCCGCGGGAAGGGGCCCGTAGGCAGGGCCCGCGTGGGTCCTCGGTCTGTCTCGAGCAGACGGGGTGCCGAGCCAGCGAGCACCCGGGCTGGACTGTGCGCCCGCCGGATGCTCCCAGGTGGTCAGTGCGTTCCGGGAGCCGCACGGACTCGGCCTGCCCCACTCGAGGGCCAGAGGTCGTGATGCTGGGCGGCGCGGTGCTCAGTGCCTGCCGACTGCCGGCCAGGAGCCGGGGGAGGGGACCCTGGAGGCTCTGGGGGCTTTGCAGGAGGGGAAGTGGTGGCGGCCGCTGTCACCTGGTTGGGGGGGGGCGGCTTCCGCTGTCGGCCTCGGGCTAGGCCCCAGGGGGTGACGGCCAAGCGGCCCTCGGGCGAGGGCTGGCTCCTCACTTCTGGATCTGAACAGTCCCTGAGCCAGGGCCAGCGTTGGCCCCACGCTGGGGCCAAAGGAAACTTTTCCAGCCAGGTGCCTGTTCCTGGGAAGTGCCGCGGCCTGGACTGCTTGGGACTGTCTGGGTGCTGCCAGCAGAGCCGCTGGGCGGGCGGGGAGAGGGATCGCAGGGGTGAGATGCCGGCAGCAAGAGGCTCCCTGAGCCTGGAGGAGCATCTTGTGTTCCTCTAGGCTCACCCCCTCCTGAGGAGCAGTGACTCCGAGCCTGGCTCAGGGTGATAGGGGGGAAGAGGGAGGACCTGAGTCTGTGACACTTGTTAGTTCTAGAGAATCTGATGTAGCCTGAGACCTGATAAGCTCTTGAGAAGAACACTCCCTGCAGACACAGAACGGTGGCAGCAGCCGTCTGGCTCTGCCCCGTGCACAGACCGCGTAGTGGGCATGGGTGCCCCTCACGGGGCTGGGGCGGCAGTGGTCTTCCTCTCCTCGGAGCGTGGTCCTCAGGGGACAGGAGGGGAGCCAGGGCCCATGGGGTGGCCCTGGAACTGCCTCTGGACGTCACGGGGGAATCGCTCCCGTTACACCCTGCCTTCTCTGCGATGTTCCTCAAGCATGTCCCCTCCCCCTCCCTGCCTCCCCAGCAGTCCCTGCGCGGCCCGAGGGGGCCAGAGCTGGCCCTGGTCAGTGTCCGGGTGTCTGTGCAGATGCCTCCAAACCGAGGCTCTCCCCGCCCGACCACGGCTCCGGCTTCGCCTTCCGCATCACCATGGCTGCACGATGTGGTCTGGTCGGTCTACCTTGCCGTGGCTTCTTGTGTGTCTGTCCCTCCAGAAGGTCAGTCCGGTGAGGACGGGGACCTCGGCCTACCTTTGCACTGGACATGCTGGTGGACAAGTGAGCACCTCGCAGTGGTGACAGGGTACCCCCCTCGGGCTGTCCCTTGGTGAGGTCCGGGTGGGCACGGGTCTGGGGGCTGCCGCTGGGCGACTGGAAGGAAGCCTGCTGGACTCGCCTAGAGCAGCGGGAAAGGAGGGGGTCCCACAGGGGGATTTCCAATGGGTGGGGTGGGGACAGTACAAGTTCCTGGAGCCTGTTGCACACCTTTAGGGCTGCAGCCCCCCCAGTCCCCCAGTTCTCTCTCTGCTCTGAGAAAGCTGCCCTGATTTCCCTGTCCCTGAGCCAGTCTGGGGCGGCCCCGCCTCCCCAGGCCAGGCCCCAGCAGGCCAGCTCCTCCCTCCTGCTTCTGGCTTCATTTGACTCACTCCCCCGGGAAACTTTCCTAAAGCAGGACAGGACATCAGGGCTTCTCAGCCCCGAGCCTGAGAGCGCCTTAGTGCGGTGGGCGGGGCCGCAGCAGGAGGGAGCAGCTACCGCGGGGCAGGCCTGTTACCCTGAGGCAGCGCCCCGGAGGGGCCCCCTTCAGTGTGCGGACCCCAAGTGAAACTCTTTCTCCCCTGAGCTCCCGCCAGCCGTCTCCACTTTGATGCTGTCGGAAGCCTAGAAAAGCTAGTGTGAGGGCTGGATTAATCACAGGGAGGGGGCCAGGGACCTGGGACGGCAGTGAATACTGCGGCCGCCCACCCGAGGGCCTGCTCTGCCTCCTGCTGCCAGACTGGGGCGTGGCTGTGTCCCCAGCTGAGCGCTGAGCACGGTGGCCTTGGGGGACGTGCTGGAGCCTTCGTGGAGGGTGGGGGGGCGGGCAGTTATTCTCGGAGGAGGCCTCAGCAGGGTAGAGTTTCAGGTTGTTTATGCCTCTCGGAGGCACCTGGGGGCAGGGGTGCTCAGCTCAGCTCCGCTGCTCGCTGACCCCTCCGATTCCCTGTCCCGCTGGTGGGGTGCGGGCGTGGGCCCTGCTGTCCCCGGCAGCCCAGAGGTCTGCAGCTTTCTCCAGGCCGTTCTGGACGAGGGGGGCACGGTGGTCCTCAGCCAGCCCTGCGTGGGCAGTGTGCCAGCCTGGGCGCAGGAGGGCGGTTCACACCCGATGCTGGCCTGAGGTCCGCCTGGCTGCTCTCGGCAGCTCAGTGCTATTAATATCAGGCCAGCGCACAAGCCCCAGCCGGGTGATCCTCTTAGGCGGCCGGCGCTGAGTGCCGTTGCTTCTGCACGGGCTCCTGGGGCCTCTCACCTGTTGGCCCCCCGCCTCCCAGGGGACAGCCTCTGCCCGCCAGGGCCTGGACCCCACTTCAGCCTCTCACCTGCTGTGCTGCCCACCCATGAGGAGCAGTTCAGGGGGCTCCTGAGCTGTCCTGGGGGGCTGCCAGGGCTCTAAGAGGCAGTGCGGCGGTGCCCTGCACGCACCTCGGATCACCCTGGTGCCCCGGTTTCCCCTGTGTCCTGGCCATGAGCAGCCCCCAGGCTTACGCTGGCATCAGGGTCTCGGGGTGCTGGGCCCTTGGAGCAGAAGGCAGGTGAGTGGCTGGCCTGCTGTCTTCCGGTGAGGCTGCCCATCTTCGCTGCGTCTCGGCCACCCCCAGCCCCGTGTGCCGTGTCTAGTGCACGTCAGGGCGGAGACGGGCCAGGTGCTCGTGGGGACCGGCTGCCGGCTTTGCTTGGGCTCTCAGTTACCAGCCGACGCGTGTCCGTGTGGCTCATAGCCCTTTGGTGGACTGCCTTTTGTCCTTGTGGTTGGCAGCACCCTGTCCATCCGTGAGCGGGGAGGTGAAGGCTCTCCCGTGCCACGGTTTGTCCCATTGTGGAGACGGGGTGAGCCCTGCTCTGAGGGCACAGTGAGCTTTGTCCCCGGCTTTGAGAGAGAGCCGGGCTTCTGGAGGAGGCAGTGGAACTGGACTAGGTTGCAGAACTGGCCTGACGCCGTCAGGCCTATTGCAAGCCCTCGGCCGGGCGGCTTTCTGGCAAGGTCATCCCTGGCTAACCTTGGGATCTTCCCTGAGGAGGTGTCTGTCCCAGGCTGTCCGCGCCACAGGCCTTGGAAGTCGTCCGTGGTAGTGGCCGTCGTCACCTCGGTAGGCCAAGGGTCAGTCACAGAGAGGGGTGAGGGCTCCTGCCGGAGAGGCCAGGGCACCAGCCTGGGGTGAAAAGCAGGGGGATAGCAGCAGTGCCAGCCCAGGCCTCCCATCCCACATCGGCCCCGCGAGGCCGTCTGGCTGTCCGTGAGCGTGCTGGGCACAAGGGCGGGTTTGCTGGGGCACTGAGGCCCTGCTCCTTTGCAAACCAGGTTTTCTGTGTTGGCTTTTCCTCCCCGGGTAGGAGGCACAGACTGGACGTTTTCCTCTGGGGCTGTGCGAAGCTGCCCTCCCCAGCTATAGGCTGTCGGTCATCTCCGGGGTCTGTGGGTCGCTTGCGGGGAGGGCAGCTGTGTGTGAGCCCTGGGGGCCCCGCGCTCGCTGTCGGGGGATGAGCGCGTCCAGGGGAACGGCCAGCGCTGCCCTCCGGCTGGGCCTTGAAGACACCACTGCTTGTGCTCCGTCTGTCTCCTGCTCGGCTGAGCGAGGCAGCTGTCACTGCCCCATCATCTGGGTGTCCCACTGTGGTGTTGGCTCCACGGACGAGTAATTGCTACTTCCAGAGGCAACACAGGCAGCCAGTGATTCCCGGGGCTCGCTCCCCATGCCGTCCCAGTGACGGAGGACCAAGGCGGCGCGGTGCTGTGTCCCCCGGACGGTGCTGCACGCCTCCTGTCACATCCGATGGCCGGCTTTCCTGCTGCGTAACTTGTGCTGACACGGCCCTCTGTGCCCTCGAGAGCTGCTGGTGTGGCTCATCACGTGTTAGGCCTGAGCTAATTCCTTCCACTCCTCCCCCCGCCCCACACACGTGTGCACACAGGCGCTGTCCTCCTGGCTCTTGGCAACGCTGGGGGTGCTGGGAGCACCGCACAGCTGGAGACGCCAGTGTTCCTGGCAGGGGACGCTCGGGCCACCCTGAGCAGGCCAGTTGCACAGCACCCTGCGCCCTGGCCATGACAGCAGAGGCTGTAGCGGTGACAGCGAGCTTCAAGGACAGGTGGCCGTCTCTGTGCACGCGTCTCACAGGCTCACGCTAGCTTTTACGGCTCGGGGAGCTTTGCCTCGAGGATGCCTTCCGTGTGTGGCTCCTCCTCAGGTTCCCACCGCGTCCCGAGCAGTGTCCATGCCTGGGGCTCCAGCCGCGGGTGGACACACATCCTGCCGGGGTTGTCCGGTGCACCCCCAGGTTCCCGGTACTTTCTTCCTGCCTAGACGATCAGCTTGCCTTCGGAGTCTCTGGGGCGGGTCTGCCAGCTGACGCTGTGGGCAGTCTCTCTCAGGCGGTGGTGGAAGTACCTTTTTCCTAAGCTGGTCCTGCCCCCGGGGCCACCTTCACACTGAGTCTGTGTCCCAGCCTCTCAGCATAGACTGAGCCGGCATCGGGCAGACGCAGCCTCTCGTAGGGCCCTCAGCCGAGCCGAGCGTCCCCAGCTGTCCCTGAAGACTTTGAGGCCTCGAGGCCTTAAGGCCTTGGGCCAGTCATCACTTCCATGCCTTTTAGGGGTATAAACCCACAGAGAAGTCAGCACAGCCCCGCTCGAGTGGCGTGGCACGGCGAGAGCAGGCACAGATGGCGTCTGCGTCTCCCAGGCAGGTTCCCGCCTTGTGCACAGCCTCTGGGGGCCTCCGCCCTTCAGCAGGGCGCCCCGGGTCTCCCTCCCCGTCCGTCCACACCACCGCCGGCCCATCCCTTTTGTCAGCGGCCTCTGTCTCTGGAGCCCCTCTCCCTGCGTGTCCTGCAGGGTGGCACAAAACTAGAGGGCCGCCTAGAGTGTGTCTGGGGAGAGGACACGGTCCTCGACAGGGTCTTGACTGGCCTTGGCGTGCCCACCTCTCATCTCCTGGGGGGAAGGGGGCCCTCGTGGCCCTGCTGAGGCCCGGTCCACGTGGGAGGAAGAGCTGGGCCCGGACAGCGCTCCCTTGTGTCCTCCTTAGCCACCTGCCGTCCCTCTGGATTTGTGGACGGTGGCAGTCCGAGGCCCCGGGCCCAGCGGACGGGCTGCAGCCAGGTGTGCTGTGTCCCGTCACGAGCCCGCTCACCTTGGCCGTGCCCACATGCCTGCGTGAAGGCACCATGTGGACCAGTCACGCCAGGCCCAGCGTGGGGTGGCAGGGGGGGTGGTGGCCCTGGGCCAAGGCAAGCGTGCCCCGCCCCCCACAGCAGCGGCGGCAGCAGCAACGCGGAGTCCTTGGACAGGCTTCTCCCACCTGTGGGCGCCGGGCGCTCGCCCCGGAAGCGCACCACCAGCCAGTGCAAGTCCGAGCCGCCCCTGCTGCGCACGAGCAAGCGCACCATCTACACGGCAGGGCGGCCGCCCTGGTACAACGAGCACGGCACCCAGTCCAAGGAGGCCTTCGCCATCGGTGAGCGCGGCTGCGGTGCGCGGGGGGGGCCGAGGCCGCCGCCCGCCCAGACCCCCGAGCGGGCGGGTCGGGCAGAACCCACCGCCGTGCCCCAGCCGGTGCTTCCGTGATCCGCGCTGCTCGGGCCCCTCGGTCCCGGTCAGCCCGGGGTGGAGGCAGCGTTGGGTGGCGGGCACCGCTGGGACCCATCTGTGAGGCTGACCTGGGCCGCTCCGCTCAGGGTCTCTCTGACCCTCTGCACAGGCCTGGGGGGCGGCAGTGCTTCTGGGAAGACCACTGTGGCCAGAATGATCATCGAGGCCCTGGACGTGCCCTGGGTGGTCTTGCTGTCCATGGATTCCTTCTACAAGGTAAGGGTGTCCTGCGTGAGCAGCTGCCTCCACGAGGTCCACGGCTCCTGCCCTGGCCTGGGGCCTGAGCCCGGGGCTGCTTCTCCTTCTGCTGCTGCTCCTCCCCCTGCAGGTGCTCCTCCCCCCCGCAGATGCTCCTCCCCTTGCAGGTGCTCACCAGGCAGCAGCAGGAGCAGGCCGCCCACAACAACTTCAACTTCGACCACCCCGATGCCTTTGATTTTGACCTCATCATCTCCACCCTCAAGAAGCTGAAGCAAGGCAAGAGCGTCAAGGTGCCCATCTACGACTTCACCACCCACAGCCGGAAGAAGGACTGGGTAAGGCCCTTGGGCTCAGCCCCCACCCACAGCCGGAAGTAGGACTGGGTAGATATGCCCTTGGGCCCAGCCACTGCCCACAGCCAGAAGGAGGACTGGGTAGATATGCCCTTGGGCCCAGCTGCACGGGGCTGGCGCAGGGGCCTCGGGGCCGCCTCAACACACACGGTTCCTTTGCAGAAGACGCTCTACGGTGCAAACGTCATCATTTTCGAGGGCATCATGGCCTTTGCTGACAAGACACTGCTGGAGGTGAGGACGGGTTCCAGGACGGATGGCCTGGCTCCCTGCTCCTCCCGTGGGACTCCCCTTACACTGGCCTGCATCCCTGTCCCGTGCCGTAGCCCCAGGGTTGGGTGAGGAGCGGCCTTGGCTCCTGAATCTCACCCCCCGAGTCAGGGCTTCAGCTGCTGTTCTCTGGGGTCCACGTGGCTGCCGAGGTCAGAGCGATGTTGGTGGGTGTGGGTTCACCTGTGGGTGTGCATGTGTGTATTCCTGCCTGGGAGGGAGCCAGCCTCCTGCATCTGCGCTGCTCGTGAGGACGTCCTCTCCCCCGGGAGGCTCTGGGCAGCTGCCCCAGGTGTGACCCACTCCGGGCCAGGCCTTGGGAGCCACCTTCCCCGCCCTGCTGGGGCCCGGGGGGCACAGCCGGCTACGCCCTTGGCCTTGCTCCTTCGCTGGTCCCGAGTGTGAGTGTGCTCAGGGCCCAGGAACCCCACTGCTCGCCACGCACGCCCACGCTCAACACTCCACGTGCAATGCACACCCGCCCCCCCACGCAGCCACACCACACGCTCCCCCCGCCCCCGCCCCATCCAGACCCGAGCGGTGCCGCGCAGGCCTGCTCTGCTCCTGGGCCCACACGCAGACCAGACGTCCCTGCCAGAGCCCGGACTCTGGTGCTCACTCTGGTCCTGCTGGTGACAGGGCCTTGGAGCCTCTTGTGTCAGGCCTTCTTCAGCAACTCACTCTCCCCGTCCAGCTCCTGGACATGAAAATCTTCGTGGACACGGACTCTGACATCCGCCTCGTGCGGCGGCTGCGCCGTGACATTAGCGAGCGGGGCCGGGACATCGAGGGTGTCATCAAGCAGTACAACAAGTTTGTGAAGCCCGCCTTCGATCAGTACATCCAGCCCACCATGCGCGTGGCGGACATTGTGGTGCCCCGGGGTGAGCCTGCGGCCCACCTGGTGGGGGGAGGGCGGGGGGCGGGCAAGGCCGGACCTCACCCTCCCTCCTGTCCCGACCCAGGGAGTGGGAACACAGTGGCCATCGATCTGATCGTGCAGCACGTGCACAGCCAGCTAGAAGAGGTGAGCCGGTGCCCAGGCTCCCGCGGCCCCGCCAGCCCTGCTCCCCACTGCCACCGCCCACGGCCACCTGCCTGGGTGGCCCCCACGTTTACTGCCCCGTCGTGTGCCGGCCAGAGGCAGCTGGGCTCCCTGAGGGACCTTGGGGCACGGAGTACCTCCAGCGCCCCCAGCCTGAGCTGGGCCTCGCACGGAAGGGTGCGCTCCTGTCCCTCCAAACCCTTTTGGGCCACCGTTGGGTTTTGGTGCTGAGTCCCACGTCCTGAGCGTCCTAGGAGGTCACACACCCCGGGCCGGCCCAGGGCGCCGCCCACCCCTCGGTCAGGCTTCACGATGGGGTGCTCGGGGCCTGCGGAACAGAGCCCCAAGGGTCCTGGCTCTGACAGCCCAGCCCAGAGGTGCCCACGCCAGAGGCCACAGGGAGCGGGCCCCCTCCCATGGCAGGCAGCCCCCCGGGACTCTCCCGCTACGGGGCTGCGGTGTGTCCGTTCCTGGGTGGGGGTGGCCTGGCTGGCCGAGGCACACGGTGGCGACAGGCCGTGCCGTCCAGTGGCTTTGAGGTGAGCAGTGCTGCTATCACTGATGCCCCACCCCATTCCCTTGTGTCTCCCTGTGTCGCTGCGGCAGCGTGAGCTCAGTGTCAGGTAAGTCTTCCCACACCCGTCTGCACAGACGGAGGCATTTCCAACATCCACAGGGAGCTCGGAGTCTGGGTTGTCACCCAGGCAGGCAGCGAGGTCCCCTCCCACCATGCCCACCCCCTGTGGTGGGCCCACCCCCGGCACAGAAGGAGTGGTGTGATGGCCGCCACACCGCTTCTACCTGCCCTTGCCAGTAGTCAAGGGAATTAAGGCCCAGAGAGGTTAAGGTGTTTGCCCAAGTTCACATAGCACCCTGACTCGAGGCTGGCCAGACCTCTCTGGAGGCTCCTGCCCGACTTGGGGCTGGTTGTGTGGGGTTGGACCCGAGGGCACAGCTGTCCTGAGCCAGCGCCGCTGTGCCCCAGGGCAGTGGCCACAGGCCTGTCCTCCAGCAGCCAGAGGGCCTGGGTCTGCAGCTTCTCTGCTTGAGCTGAGGGGCGGGTCTTTACTCCCCCAAGCGGTGCTGAGGCACCCCACCCCCCGCATCCCGGCACCCCGGCCCACCGTGGCCCTGGAGCCGAGGCACAGAGAGCCAGGAGGAGCCCCCAGGAGTCCTGGGCTGCACGTCCTTCCTGCCCACGAGAGGGATGGGGCGCCTGTCCCCACGCAGTGGTCGGCGGAGCTGGGAAGCACCAGACCGAGCCTCCAGCTCGAGCTGCATTGGAAATGCCTCCAGGCCCGTGGGCCGGCCTCCAGCTTCCTGCCCACGCATGAGTCTCCGCTTGCCTCTCACCCGGCCCGGGGCACCTGCGGGTCTGCCCACGTCATGTCCTCTGGAAGCCTTGTTTCAGAGAAATAAAAGTTTCCAGGAAGCGTGGCTGTGGTGGGTGGGAGGGAGGGACCCGCAGGGCCGAATGCAGTGGACTCTCGGGTGCTCGCGGGCCCCGGGGGCGCGGGCTGCAGGGTCTCCCTGCCGCCAACCCCGCCTCCTGCTCTTCCCTTCCCCAGGCCAGCCGGTGGCCACGGAGACCACCGTGCTCCCCGCTAAGTGGTCTTTTCTCTCTCTTCTTTTCCTCTTCTTTGTAAACCCTGGGGTCTCCTGCCCTGTTCCCTCCCTGACCTACTCTTCGCCTCTTCACGTGGTGGGCAGAGGAAGCTGCGCTGGGATCTGTGAGGACAGAGTGCTCTGGCCGTGGTGCTGCCTGCGCGCGGTGTGCCCGGCGCTCTGCAGGCTCCGCCCCTCCCCTCCCGCCCCGCCCCTCCCCGCCCCCCCGCTCCGCCTCCTCCTCCCCACCCCACCCCGCTCCAGGCTGGGGCAGCAGGGGCTGTGCGAAGCCAGCTCTGCCCGCCTCTCCTGAGGGGGTCGCACATCACCTGGGGGGAAGCCTTAGGCGGGGCTTGGCCCCAAAGTTCAGCTGTTTACCCAGGGAGAGGTGTCCTGAGGTTGGGGTCCAGATGCCCAGCTTGGGGGCTAAGATTCATCTGCACGTGTGAGGTCTCGCCCTCCCACTGCCAGGTCCTGAACGGGGAGGGGACCTGGAGCGGGAAGGGAGGCCCGCACCGCAGCCCTTGCTTCCTGCCTAACGGTCAGCTGCTCTGCCTTCCACCGTGTCTCTTAACCACTGCCTGGCTGTTACGGCGGAGGGCATGTCGGGATGGGGCCCTCCCTCCAAATCAACCACTGGGAGGGTGGCCTCCACCGTGCCCACCACGACTGCCCCCTATAGTCTGCGGCGGGAGGATGGGGCTCTGCGGAAAGATGCCCCTTCTTGAGTCCCCAGTCGCTTTGTGTCCCCAGGGCCGCGCTGGCCTCAGCGCACCAGTGCCACCCCCTGCCCCGGACGCTGAGCGTCCTCAAGAGCACGCCGCAGGTGCGGGGCATGCACACCATCATCAGGTGAGGCCCGTCCCACTCCCCCGGCCTGGCGGGCGGGCGGGGCCGACCTTCGCTAACCCAGCCGGGCCCGCCGTTGGCAGGGACCGGGAGACCAGCCGCGACGAGTTCATCTTTTACTCTAAGAGGCTGATGCGGCTGCTCATCGAGCACGCGCTCTCCTTCCTGCCCTTCCAGGTGCGGGACGGGGGGAGGGAGGGGGCCGGGGGAGTAGGGGGGAGGGGAGGCTCCTCGCGCTCACGCCCCGCCCCCGCCCGCGCAGGACTGCGTCGTGCAGACCCCGCAGGGCCAGGACTACTCGGGCAAGTGCTACGCGGGGAAGCAGGTACCAGGGGCCCGACCTGGGCGACAAGGGACTGGGGCGGCCGGAAGGCGGGGATCTGGCTAGCTCAGCCTCGTCCCCCCAGATCACAGGCGTGTCCATCCTGCGGGCCGGCGAGACCATGGAGCCTGCGCTGCGGGCCGTGTGCAAGGACGTGCGCATCGGCACCATCCTCATCCAGACCAACCAGCTCACCGGGGAGCCCGAGGTGGGGGGCCTGGGGGAGGGGGGTCCGTGGGGGAGGGCGGGGCACGGGGAGCCTGAGGTGGGGGGCCTGGGGGAGGGGGGTCCGGTGGGGGGGCGGGGCACGGGGAGCCCAGGTGGAGCCTTCGGTTTGGGCCGCCCTGACCCGGTGGCTGCCTGCAGCTCCATTACCTGCGGCTCCCCAAGGACATCAGTGACGACCACGTGATCCTGATGGACTGCACAGTGTCCACTGGCGCGGCGGCCATGATGGCGGTGCGGGTGCTGCTGGTGAGTGGTTGGGAGGGGGCGGCGGGCGGGGGCGGGCGCTGGGCCCAGCTCACGCCCTCGCCGCGCAGGACCACGACGTGCCCGAGGACAAGATCTTCCTGCTGTCGCTGCTCATGGCGGAGATGGGCGTCCACTCGGTGGCCTATGCTTTCCCGCGCGTGAGAATCATCACCACGGCGGTGGACAAGCGCGTCAACGACCTCTTCCGCATCATCCCCGGCATAGGTGAGGCTGCCCGGCCCTGTCAGTGACAGCTGGGGGGGCAGGTGGGCCTGAGCCCCCACCACAAGGACCTGCTTCTTCCCCCAGGGAACTTCGGCGACCGCTACTTCGGGACTGACGCCGTCCCCGATGGCAGCGATGAGGAGGAAGGGGGCTCCGTGGGGTAGCCGCCCTCCCCGCCCCCAACTCCTCCTGCTTCCCCGGGGCTTACAGGGTAGAGATGTTAACTTATTTTAATTAAAAAATGTGTTGTCGGTGTACCTTGTCTAAACATTTTGTAAAATAAAACTTGAAAATTAAGCTGTGACTGGTTAGCTGGGGTGCGGGAGTGGTGTCCTGCCTGGGCCCTGGGCTTGGGGAGTGGCCCCCAGGGCTGCCCCAGTCCCCAAGCGGCGAGGCCACTGTGGAGAGAGAGGGACTGAGGAGCCTGGCCTCCGCTGGGTCCTGGCTGGGCCCCCACCTTCCCCGCAGGACAGGGGCTTCTGGTCTTGTACTTGGCTTTTCTCACCGTCCAGGGTCAGTGCAGATTTAGGAGAGGACAGAGCTGGGCCTGCAGCTCCTGGCCCTGCTAGACTGGCCCCTTGGTGGCCACCTGGCCTGGGCCTGGAGCTCTGGGTCTTACAAGATGTCGACAGCCTCCACAGCCACTTCCCTCCCGCAGCACGTGTTTGTCCGCGGCGGGGGCGGGGCGGAAATGGGTGTGGGCGGGGCTGGAGGAGGGAGTGAGGAACCGGCCCTGGCCTCGCAGGAACCCCGCTTGCAGGGGATGTGGCCGGTGCCTCACTGAGCCGGCCACACCGCTCAGGGTCAGAAACCACATCCCGCCCTGCCTTCGCCGCTCCCGGGCAAGGGCACCGGCGAGGGTGCTGCCTGCCTGGCCCCACAGCCTGATGCCGGTTGATTCGCAGCTGCTGCGGGTGAGCTGCCAGAAGCATCCCCCACCGTCCCCCACCTCCTGGCCTGGCTCTTGCTCTTTCCTGCCCTCCTGGTCTCCTCGGTTTCCACTCACCTCACAAAGGCCATGTCATGGGAAAGCTCGTCATGGGGCGGGGACAGGAAGTCCCTGGGTGGGGACCAGGCCAAGGGCAGCAGATAAAGGCGGGAGCTTGTCCACAGGTGGCCAGGCGCCAGGGTAGAGGAGCGACACAGCCCCAAGGTCAGCAGGAGGGGCCTCTCCTCCCCAACCTGGTGAGTGGACCCTCCCCCATATCTCCAGGGCCCCATTCGTTGGTTGGTTGGTTGGTTCATTCATTCATCCCGCGCTCTGTGCCGGGAGCCTGGAGGCTGCAGCAGGCCTGGCCCTGCTCTGGTGCTGTGATGCAGCTGACACCCTTCTGTCTGGCCAGCTCTTCCCAGATGAGCAATGGGGCAAACCGTTGTTGATGAGCTGGGCAAGAGCTAGGTCGTCCTGGGAGGGGCCCCGAGTCCAGCTAGAGGACGAGCAGCTCCCACAGAAGAAATCAGACCCACATGTGCTCATGCATGTGCAGATGGCCACATGGCCCCAGACACACACACGTGCGTGATGCAGCTCAGGGCCCCCACCTCACTCAGCCGCCAGCCTCGGGGGGTGGGACGGCTTCCTTCCGCTTCTCGAGGGTCGGTGGTGGCCTAGGGCCGAGCCCTGCCTGCTCAGGCTGCGGCTCCTCATCAGAGACAGACGAGGTAGGGGAGTTCTTGGGCCACTTCCTGCCAGGACCCCAAGGGGTGGTCCTTCTAAACAGCCCTGACAGAGGGTCTTCGGGGTGCCAATGGGAGGAAGGGGCAATCCCTCCAGCCCCTCCTGGTCCCAGAAACAGGACCAGGATCCAAGGTCCAAGGCTGTCCTGGGGACAGGGCTCAGCACAGCCGCTGGAAACGTCGGAGGCTTCGCGTTTGGGAAGAAACCTTGGGTGGTGCCCTTCAGGGCCGGAGGAGCCCACCCCCAGGGAAAACCTCTCAGGCTGTGTGGCAGCTGGGACCGATTAGCAGCCCCTGGTGTTGCCTTCCGGGCACCTGGGCTCCTGTGGGCCCAACGGAGGCCAAGGGGTCAGCGGGTAGCAGGAAGAAGCTGAGGGTGGAGCTGCAGCCTGCAGCCTCAGAGCCCGGGCCAGGACGGGGCGGGAGGCAGACCCGGAGCCCCTCCCTCACTTGTCCAGAAGTTCCTGGGACACAGGGTGAGGAGCCCAGAGGAGCAACGTGCCTGCTGAGGACCCATCAGCCGCCTGGGCAGTGCCTCCAGGACTGTCCAACCTGAGAATGGTGAGCATCCAGGGGCAATCTCAGGTTTGTCAGCCCGCGAGGTGCCGCCCCCTCCCCAGCAGCTGCTGCCACGGGGCGAGGGGCATGTGCACTTGGGCCAGTCAGCAGAAGGATCTGGTGGGTCGGTACCACCTGGGCAAGGACACCGCCCATCACGGTGTCACCGATGGGCCACCTGGCATCAGAACGCACCCACAAGACGCCTGTATCCTGGGCCCCGCCTGACGCAGCCCTAAGTGCTCCAGGGTGAGTCCGAGGAAGGGGCACCGGTGTACAGGTTCCTGGGCCAGGGCTGGGGCACGACGCAGCCAGAGATGCTGCGGGCAGCTGGGAGACTTCCAGGCTCTCTGAGGTCAAGCTGAGGGCTTGTGGGTAGCAGGAAGGGAGGGGGCCATGGATTCAGATGTGAAGGAACAGGGCAGGGGCAGCAGGTGGGTTTTAGCTGTGCTTGGGTTAGAAGGGTAAGAAAAGGGCAGCTAGCACGGGGTTCACAGGGACCCAGGTCTGTGACCCCGGGATGGGAGCTATGGCGATATCAGCAGCGACACATCCGCTGGGGTGGCCGCACTGCCGGGTGGGCGGGCTGGCCTAACTCCCCGCGCAGGGCCCTCGGTGCCCCCGGTCACCGATCGGCTGCCCACTGGGGGGCCCCGAGAACCGCCCCGGCGTCACGTGTCTGGGGGTGGGACTGGCGCGGGCGCTGGCTTGGACCCTCCCCAACCGCCACCACGCCCCCCCCAGTTCCAGCGCGAGCGGAGTGTCCCGGCCCAGGGCTGCTGGGGGTCACGCGCCCGGACGGAAAGGGCCAGGGCCGAATGGACAGGGCTGGAGACAGCCGCCGCGGTCTCGGGCACCGCGGGTGCTGCCTCAGGGCCCCCCCGGAGTTCTGGGGAGTCCGAGCAGGGGGGGTCTCCCTGAGGCCAGAGGGAGACGGGTCCCCGGGACTTGGAGCGGGTGGGCGGCCCGGCGCGCCAGGGGCAGGGGCCGCCCCACAGCGATAGGTTCCTCCCGCCGGGACGGGCCACATGGCGTCCTCGGGCCCGGAGCCCGACCTGGGAGACGCTTCTCCCCTCGGGCGGGTGACACCAGGCGCGCCCGGACCCCCGCCCCTCCTCGTGGCCACGCCCCGCGCTCCCACGGGCGGGGCTGCCTCGTGGTGCTGCGAGTGGGGCGGGGAAGGGGGGCGGGAGGTCCGCCTAGGACCCTGCCCGCACGCTGCGACCCCGACGACCCCGACTTCAGCCAGGAGCTTCAGCCAGGGTCCTGGAACTGGGCACGGGAGGGCAAGGGGCATCGGGGGGACTTAGGAGTCTTTCCGAGGTGCCATTCAGCCACGCCCGCGGCCCTCGGTCCCCCTAAACCAGGGCCAGTAGGGGCTGAGGTCCCGCTGCCCACCACCCCGAATGCGCATCATTAAGGGGTGGTGTCACGTCGTCACGTCCTATTTCTAAGTATCCCAGATAGAAAATACTGAAAGTAAGGAAAAACGTGTGAGGACGACAAGGCTGGCAGGGAGGTGGGAAGGGGGCCTTCCTCTCTGTGGATGTGCAGGGCATTTGGGGCCACCAGTCAAGGGCGGGCTTCCAGACGCCTGCCCAGCGATGGTCCCCGGTGAGGGCAGTGCAGCTCTGCTTCACCAGCCAGGAACTAAAACCCACCTGTATCCTCAGTGAACAAGACCACCAACCACTTGTGTTTAATTCATATGATATGTGCTATACAGAAATTAACTAGACCTAGATGTAGCCACCTGGCTTGAGGAAAAAAAACCCTGCGCTAAACGGACACTCACAGTGATTTAGTGCTGTACAACTTATGAAATCTTAGAAATCAGTGGTACGTGTTATTTATGGACGCTGAGACTGGTAGGCAGGGTTTAAAACCACAAACAGAAGTGAGCTGGAGTGCCTAGTGGGCCACCTCTGGGCCTGGGAGGGACGTACAAGTGGGTCTTCACTGTCATGTTTTCTTCTGTGGGAAATCTAAAGTACTCCACATTTGTGATGTACGAATAGGGTTTCAAGGTGTTTGTTACACAAGTCTTAGTATTTTTAGGCTGTTTAGATTTTTTCAAATCATTTCCGCCAGGCCCTTCGCTAAGGGCAAGGACACAGAAGGAAGACCCAGCACCCCACCTGAGGGGGGCACAAGCGCGAGGGACCAGCGCCCCCGGGGCGTGGGAGGCAGCGCCGGCAGCCAGGCCTGGTGTTTCTGGAGGTACCTGCTCGCTACAGCCCTGCAGTGCCAGGTAGCCAGACCCCTGGGCCTCCTGGGTTAGGGTGGCCTCTCCCACCGAACGCCAGGGTCCGCAGGGCCTGAGCACCCCGATGTGTACAGAAGGGCACACGTGGTGGACGTACACACCCTGAGGCGGAGATGCCGCCTCCTGCAAGAGCCCAGGAGTGGATGCTTGTCTCGGGTGGGAGACAGGCACAAAGGCACCACGTCAGGGGGCCGTGGTGGTGCTCAGGCTGTCCCCTGCTCCCCTCTCCCTGCCGTCCAGGTGATGGGGGGGAGGGAAATCTCAGAACTCCCTGGGAGCCAGGTAGGACGACGGACACTGCCTGGGAGATGCCAGAGGGCAGGGCCGGGTCACCAGCAGCTTGGAGACAACCCAGGAAGACGGGGCAGCGGTGTCCAGGCGTGAGGACCCGAGCATACTGCACGCTGATGCCCTGGGTGGAGCAGGCAGAGGGACAGGAGCTGGACGTGGGCAGGGCTGCCCAAGGGGCAGAGGAGCTGGCCAGGTGCCCTCTGCAGTAGCCCCTTCCTGACTTTGTGCTGCCAGCTGAGGACAGGCCCAGGACTGGCCTGCTCTCCTGGAGAGCTGCAGCCCCGCTCACCCGGCCAGACAGCTGCTCATGAGCAGCAGGATGGAGGGGCCGCTGTCTGAGGGCGGCAGGGATGGTTCCCAGAGGCTGAGGTGGTAGGACGGTCAGCTGGGTGGATAGGAGGGGACAGTGGGACCAGTGGTTGTTGGCCACTGGCTTGCTGGCCGTGTCCCAGGAGGGCTCCAGGACCCACAGTCCAAGCTGCCCTTGGCGTGTGGCTCTCCCAGCTCAAACATTCCTTCCCTCACCCCAGTCGTGGTATTTAGAAAATGGAGGGGAGTCTGTCCACACTCAGACCAGGCAGGTGGTAGTGAGGTCCCAGCCCCCAGAGGACTCAGGAGGGCCGCCGAGCTCAGCTGCCCCCAGAGCGCGAGACTCCCCTAAGGCAGGATCACGCAGGGATCGTTACATAAAGCACACACCCAGCCTGCAGTGAAAACATTTATTTTTTACAAGTTATCTTTATTATAGGTCAACATTCAGACATAAGAGACCATCACCATGGGAAACCACCGTGACCCTCCAGCCCAGCCCCAGGGGTGTGCGTGGGCTCAGGGCGGAGGTCGGTCCCAGCAGCAGGACACAGCAGCACACGGACGATCGCGGTCCACGCGCCTGCATTTAGCTTCTAACCATGACGCATACATGTTTCAGTGTAAACTGCTCCCCTCGCCCACCCTGAAACACCCTTATTTCCAGGGAGACAAAATCACCAAAAGCTGCTGCCCACAGGACCCCAGGCCCAGCCGCTTCCTCCCCGGGGACCCTCCAGGGTGGATCTGGGGTCAGAACAGAGACCCCTTTGAACGTGGCTTTGTCACTGATTGTATCTGATGCTTAGAAAATTGGTTTTAATGTTTCAGGGGAGGGAGGGGTTTCCAGCCGCTCACCTGTGGGTCAAGTGAGCCCCCAGGTATGGGTGTGACCTTGGCAGCCCTGCACCCTACCCTGGAGGAGCCGACACTGGCAGCGCTCGGGCACCCGGCCTGCCGTCCACACTGATTCCAGGGACACAACAGGGCCGCTGTTTCCTTCTGTGCACATGGCAGAGGAGCTCGCCCAGACCCCCTGCTCCTGCCCCAACTCGTCAAGAAACCAGAGGCTGTTTGGGAACCACTTTTATTGTACTGTCGCTTTGCCCCGGACGGCGGCACTCACGCCGCTGGGTGATATATACATATACACATATGTACACACACTGCCCACACCTACAGCAGAGACGACGCCAACCGTGCTTGAAAGGACAGTAAAAATGTAGCTTTTGCCAATTCCACAGGAGAAGGAGTCACAACCAAAATAACGAAACAGGCGAGTCCTGTGTCACAGGGGCTCACAGCTCAGAACGCTGGGAAAGGAGTGACATCGGTCACTGTTTCACGCCCCTCACCACCACCGCCGCCCCCCGCGCTGTCCCCCTGGCGGGATGTGCTGAGAGCCAGGGAAGAACGGACCGGGCCCCTCCAGGGAGAGCCCACGAGCCGGTGCCCGCCCCCCTCACAGGTGGTCTCACACCAGGTGCCACGGAGGCTGCCCGTCTCCCCAGCGGGCACGGCACAAGCTCCCCTGGAACAGACCGCCCGCGGTTAGAATACGCCAGATGGTCCCGGCAGGGCCCCTCCCCAAGCAGGAGCCCTGTGGACACAGCACGCCCAAGCGGCCCCAGTGGACACAGCACGCCCGAGGGGCCCCAGCGGAGCTGGCTGCTCGACTCGTCGGAGAAGTAGGAAAGCTCACGCACGAGCGGTAACGTCTACAGCAGGTTGAAAACAGAAAAACGCCCAGAAAGGACAAGAGACCACGTCACCAAGCGAAAACAGAAATGTACGCGCGGCAGCTCCCGTCTGCACCCTGCAGCCTCTCCCACACTCCCGGCAGGCCACAGGCGGGCAGTGCTGTCAGAGCCTCAGGGCACCCAGCACTGGCCTCGGTGGCCCTGGAGCGAGGGCCGAGGCGCTCCTGTTCCCATCACAGCAGGAGAGGGTTGTCCCCTCCGCGCACGTGAACAGAGGGCCCTCCAGACACAACACCCCGCTCACCAGGGAAGCAGATGGGCCACACAAGGAAAAGGGAAATGCAACCAGGGACCTAGGTCTTCAGTCAGCGGGAGGGCCTGAAAGCACAGACAGGGAAGTCTTTGAAAGGGTTTCTGCCTCCAAGTCAACAAAGTGGACGTGCGTCGGGGTCAGGGTCGGGGTCAGGTGCGGGGGCATGGTCCAGGCCCTGCGCCTGGCCTCGGGGTGCCCAGCCCTCGCGGAGTCATCAGCTTCGCCTTGAGGATTGTTCTCATCACCGTCACGATTTGTTTAGTTTTTACAAATTCTACAGGAGACTGGGTTCAACAAACCTCCGGACCTGCCCCTCTGGCCTCCAGGGGAGCATCACGTTTCTAGTGGACGATCAGAAAGATTCGGGAACCAAAAGACCCGGCAGAGATCCGCCCTGACCTGCGTGACGTGCCTCGGAGTTTTCTGCCCACGAAGCAATGACACGGTCACTGTGGAAGGCGGCTGCCTACCTGAAGCCCAACCTCTGAACTTCGTGCTCGGCCGCTCTAGGGAAAAACAACTCATTTCCTGAAGTTATTTCCAGAAACGTCAGGAAGGCCGACTAGAGCCTGCTCTCAGGCTGAATTCTTGCTGGCCTGGAACTGGCACCTAAGACTGTCCTAGTGTCTGGCCTCCTCCCTGCTCCAGGGTAGGTCAAACAACGGATTTCTTGTCCTTCTGAGAGGCCGGATCTCAGCAGATTATTCCTCATTTAACATCAGCGCAGACCTCCCCTCTTGCTGACCGTCTTCGTGATTGTTTTCAAGGGCAAAACCCCAAACAAAACGGAACCCACAAGTGCCCACGGACCTGGTGCCTGCAGAGCCGGACGCTCACCCCCCACAGCACCATGAGGGCAGCGGGCAAGCCGGGGCCCGGGCGGGGCTGGGGTGGTGGTAGTCAGTGGCTCGGGAAGGTGTCCTGGTGCGTCTGACCTCATTGCGTGCTGCCCCTGCCCCACGGCCTTCCCTACGGGACATTCCGGAGGAGCCCAGCAGTCGAGAGGTGCATGATGGGAAACCAGACCCACTTGGGCCACGCAGGTCCCGCGGCAGGTGCTGGTCTGCACGGGCCCAGCACAGCCACGTCTCCAAGTCCTCAGAGCAGGGGCCACCCACAGGTCTGGACGCGGACAAGACAGACTGGCTTCCAACAGCCCACAGACGGTGCACGGACAGAGGTGAGCAGGGCTTCTGTGGTCTGGCTGCGGGCTAACGAGCCCAAGGGCACCAGGGCCACTTGGGGACCCAACCCTCTGCCCTGAGTGTGCCTTTGGTCCAGCTGGTCCTTTCTCCGTGAGCCCAACGTCTCTAGCTCTGCCCAAACCAGCAACGACAGCCAAAGGGAGCAGTCGGAGGAAAGCGGGGGGGTGAGAGCTCTGGGAAGCACAGAGGGGAGGGCTGTGCAGCCCACTCACCACAGGCAGCCTGGACTCCCAGCCCCTCTGACCACCACTAATTGGGCCGCTGCTGCCATCTGTGGTTCTTAGAGGTTCAAAGAGCATTACCAAGAGGCCAGGTGGGCCTGAAGGAATGTGGAGGACGATGCAGGGAAGGGGAGAGTGGAGGCTGCGGAAGGGGCCCCATCCATCCAGCTCATGGCCTGGGGACGTGTGGGAACGTCCCCACCCCGGGAGGGAGCACACTCGAAGCACGGGGGCCTCAGGTCAGACATGAGAAACAACTGCTACAGGCTAAGCAGACGAGGTGAACGGGTCCCGCACAGACTGTCCCTGGTACGAATGCCACAGAAACGCCCCGGCGCTGGGAGAGTGGGCCCAGCTCCTTCCTGGCAGGTGAGTCCAGAGGCCCTGCCTGTGGCCACATGGTTGGCAGGCACGGGGCAGGGAGCAGACCCCACGGCTCCAGCCAGGCAGCACCTGCCTCAGGCCCCCATGGGCACGGGGAACGGAGCCCGAGCCCGCCTGACCGCGAGGGACCACACGGGCCGTCCAACCGCTGCGTCGACCTGCCCGAGAGCCCTGAGGCGGCCCCACGTCTGGGGAATGCGGCCTGGCCGCAACACGCTCACAGTACAGACAGACATGGAACGTAACCCTGCACATGCTATTAAAAAAGGGAACAACAGAAGAAGAAGACCGTAGCTAAACTGCTTTAAACACTGCATGCTACGCACTTCGTGTGTCAGGGATCGGCGGGTGAGCGGGCACAGAGGCGGGCTGGCGCTGCCCTCCCGGGGCCAGGGCGGCTCCCGCCCCACCTCTGGGACTACAGTCCATGATTCTAAGGTCGAGTGGCTGGGTGCTGACTGACCCTCGAATCACAGCTTCTCCTGAATTTAGTTGAACCCATCAGTGTGATAGCTGGGGTGGGAGTCGGCTGTGAGCTGGGTGGTCTCCGTGGCGGACGCCGGCTGGACGACGATCGGCGTGTCTGCGGCCTCTGAAAGCAAGCGACGCGTGGCCTCAGGTCAGGCCAGTGGGCCTCTCGGCCCCTGACACCGTCTCTGGGCGACACGCTCGACCACCTGGTGGCTCGACCGGGGTCGGAGGTCGTAAGACAAGCGCCCAGGGCGGGGCGAGGCTGCCAGGACCTCCGCCCCACACGACCTTCGTCAGCGGCCTCGGCCCTCGGCCCTCCCCGCCTACTCAGCTACCACAGTCCGCGGCGGGGACAGCCCTCCGCGCCTGCTTTACCTCCGGCGTCCACGTTCACACCTCAACCGTCCCGCCGCCACCACAAACACTCCCGCACAGTGTCAGTGCCCTCCTGTTTGACGAGACAGGGCGACACGTTCAGGGCCCGCTCCGGCCCCGCCCCTCACGCGCGCCCCGGGCGGCGGGCACACTCACCCCTCTCGTCGGACTGCAGCTGCGCTTCCAGGTCCTCGGGGGACACGTAGAACTCGGTCTCCTCGCCCTCAGGCGCCTTGGGCTTGCACTTCCCGCAGCAGCAGTTGAAGCAGCAGCAGAGGCAGCAGCAGCAGTAGCAGCAGGTGAGGAGCCCGCAGAACACAAACAGGGCCTGTGGGCAAGGGGACGTGGTTGTGCGGCGAGGCCGGGATGCAGCTCTCAACCTGCGCCCACCCCCGACCCCCGCCAGGGTCACAGAGGGGTCCTCACACCAGCAGTGGACTCTTTTCCAGATCAAGGAGAATAAAGAAAGCACTGAACACGGGGACAGGAGGGCAGGAAGGAGGAGACCAGCTGCGTAAAGAAGGGTAACTCCTGAGAGGGGAGGAGGGCTGACTGGCCGCTGCCAGACAGGCTTCCGACAGCTCAGCGCCCTGCAGTGAGCCACACCCTCGGGCCTCACACGACAGATGCTTTGGATAGAATCAGGAAACCAGGTAATGTTACAATATAAAACAATAATATTTTTTTCAGAAGTTTCTCAAGCTAGATATTTCTAGCAAGTTTTCCCTAATCACAAAAATAAATCTATCCACAAAGTGATGAAAAAGTTCATTTCCTATTTCTACCACAGTGACTCACGAAAGAAAATGCTGTGGACGTCACCACTCGGCACAGACCTCGCTCTGTGCGCGCGGGCTGGACGCAGGCAGGCCGCAGGCCAGCTACAATCTGCTGGGACCGGGCCTTTGCCCGTATCTATGGGGACGAGGAGCCCGCCACGTGCCCAGATCCACCTGGCGGGATGCGAGAGTGGGAGCTGCGCCCTCACCTTGGCCCACCAGCTGGAGAGCACGAAGTAGGTGTTCACGTTCTCCTCCCCGAACTGCTCGGCCACGTAGAGCCCCAGCGAGCCGTACTTGTCGTAGATGTTTCTTTTCGTGGAGTCCGTCAGGATGGCGTGGGCGTTGTTGATCTCCTTAAACTTGTCTGCGGCCTCTGGGTTGTCTGGGTTCTTGTCAGGGTGATATTTCAAGGCCAGCTTCCTGCAAACCAAAACCATCTGTTGGTCTCACGTCTCACGCTCATCCACCGGGATGGAGGGCCAGCAGAGGAACGTTTACCCGTCACCACCTCCCTTTCCAGCCGGCCACAGAACTAGAGAACACCAGGCTCAACAGCAATCTCTGCAACTGTCTAAGGGCAAACCTCCCGTGCTGAGCCATCCACAGAGCAGCAAGTACCCGGGTGAGAGCTGACCTGCGGGCGCTCCCAAGAACTTCCAACCCCGCTGCTGCCCTCTAGCGTCCTGACTGTACATTTGCCAAATGGAGGGACAGGCAAGGAGCGTGCAGCACAGGCATTTTATTGTACCGATAAGGAGATAAGCTGAGAACACAGAGGACTGTGTCAACTGTCTGCACCAACCACAGTGTCGGTCTCTGGCAGCTGCTCAGGGACACCGCAGGGGAAGGGCAAGCTCAGCCATGCGGGAAGGCTCCCCCGGGGGGTGAGACCCTGCCACCACAGCTCAGCACATCCAGGCCTGCCCCCCGAGCCGTCTGCTCCAGGGTAGGGAGTGTGCATGACCCCACACACTGCTATTGTTTTGTTTTTGTTGCCAAGAGAACATTAAGGTAATAATCATAAGCTATACGGGGACACACTACACACACAAAGATGCAGTGGAAGGGCTACCAGTGAAACAGCGAGTAGGCGAGTAGGCCGGGGAAACACGCGCAGATAAGAGACAGGAGGGGCGGGAGCCGCCCGCCCCGGGCCCAGGCCTCTTACCGGTAGGACTTCTTAATGTCATCCGAGGTTGCATTCTTGTCCAGCCCCAGAACGTGGTACAGGGATTCCCCAGAGGTAGAGAGGGAGCGCTGTCTCTGGTCTGCCATGGCAGGCTAGTCTACAAGGAGAACGCAGAGGAGACGTCAAAAACTACAGATAAAATTTAAGTGTGTGTTTTGTAGTCCCTTGGGCAACCTCTAAATAAAGACGTAAGGAGGCAAAGCTACAAAGCTGAAGGGAAAATGAAAATGAATCTCTATAGACTAAAAACTCCATTAAGAGGAAGAGATTGTCAAAATGGATAAAAAAATGCAAGACCCAACTAGACACTGTCTGCGAGAGACACTTTAAAAAACAGAGCCTCAAAATACATGAAGCAAGTGCTGACTGAAATAAGGGGAGAAGCAGACAACTTCACAGTCACAAAAATCTTAACAGCCCTCTCTCAGAAACTGACAGGACACACACACAAAATCAGGAAAAATACCGACGGTCTAAAGAACACTATCAACCACCATGACCCGATTACCTCTATGACACCCGCATCCACAGAACTTACACTTCTCAAAAATCACCAAGACATACCACACGATGGGCCATAAAACAAGTTTTAACAAACTTAAGTGGACTGAAATCATACACGGTGTGTCCCCAACCCTAACAGATTAGAGACCCAAAAGGAAAATACCTATGAAAACCTCAGGTGTTTAAATATTAAACGATACACTTCTAAATAACATGCAGTTCAAAGAAAAGAGGACAGACATAATTTCTAAACTCATTACTGATCTAATAAACTGCATGTGATTACAGGCTACTACTTAAAAATAAGTTGATATATTCATAGTGGCCCAAACTCAGAAGCAACCAGGATGTCCTTCAGCAGGTGACGGATAAACTGTGGTGCACCCGGACAGTGGAATATTATTCAGCAAACTTGTGTTTTCCATGAAAAGACATGGAAGAACCTTAAATGCATTTAAGTGAAAGAAGCCAATCTGAAAAAGCTACAGACTATATGATTCCAACTCTGACATTCTGGAAAAGACAAAACTATGGAGACAGTAAAAAGATCAGTGTTTGCCAGAGGTTGGGAGAGGGAGGGATGAACAGGCAGAGCACAGAGAATTTTTAGGGCAGTGAAATTATTCTGATACTACAACTGCAGATGCATGTCATTATATGTTTGAAAATCCCCACAGAATGTGCAACACCAAGAGTGAGCCCTGATGTAAACTACAGACCTGAGTTACTCTGTATCAATGCTGGAGCATCACTCAAAACAATGTACCACACCAATGCTAATAGACTGTAAGACTGGGGCGGGCAGGGAGTACAAGGGAACTCTCTGTACATTCTCCTCAATTTCTGTGTAAACCTAAAACTGCCTTAAACAATAGTTCTGCTGTCCTCAGAGACTGAGATTACACTAAGCTGTGAAGAAAAAGGGGCACAGAAGGATAAGACAGTCTCTGGAAATCACTATCTGAGCAGTGAAGTTGTCAACGAGGCAGACGGGTACAACGGCATGCCTGAAACGGCTGAAGGCCAGAGCACAGAGAAGGCACAGTTTAGGAAGCGTCTGAACAGAACCAGCACAGAGAGAACAGAAAATGAGAGAATCTGCCAGGCAGGAATTTGAAAGGCAAAGAATACAGGCAACTGAGAAAAAATAGTCAACTGAAAACAAAACTAGAGCTGAAAGAAAACACAAGTGTGCAAACTGAGGCCCCACCAGGTAGAGCACCAAGGCCATACTTCTACATCCTGGGCGCTAAGAACTTCCCCAAACAAAACACGTTTCGAATTCTAAGAAGAAAGGAGCTTCACCTTAGGATTCCACTATCAACAAAGTGTAAAGTCAGAAGAACGTATAAACGCAAGAGTCTGGGAAAAGTACTGCTCGCGCATCTTCAATGAAACAATGATCTGAGGAGTATTTCAACAAAATGTGGAAAGAAATCAAGAAACAGGAAAAGATGTGACAAGAGGAGTGGTGGTGTCCCGGCCTGCGGGGGAGTGGCCCAGGCGTGCCCCCTCCTGCAGGTGGCATGGTCACTTCTGATCACAACACAGGACACACACATGAACTCCCTCCAGACTGGGTTCCGCAGGGGCTGGGCTCCCCTGGCCCCCTGTAGCCTCACGACACAGGCACTCCAACAGTTATGTCACAGACAGAGAGACACATACACAGAGAGGTGAAGTCAGGACCTGAACCCAAACCGAAGGGTGCGGCCGCCTGGCTGAGGGACACCAGGTCAGCCACCTCGGCACGAAGCATAAGAGACGGTGGTGTAGAGCTGAGGGCAGGAAATGAAACACGCATCACTTCAGTCCCAGAGATGGTGGGCTTTGGAATCAGGCTGTGAGGACTCTCAAGCCCAGTTCCGACAGCTTCCAACTGCTTGGCGTGGCCAAGTCGCTGCCGTGCTTGGAGCCTCCCTCCTCACCTGGATGGACACAAGGACCCCCCCGACCCCTGACCCCCGCCCCATGGCAGGGCTGCACAGAGCCCAGGGACCCTCAGTGATGTTGATGATGGAACATATTCTCGTCAAGTCTCCATTGCTAGGAATTTCGTCCATTTACTCCACAACGGAAGTACCATGACTTCGTCAAGTTTAATTACTACTTGGCTAAGTAATTTTTTTGGTCCTTAGGTACTGTTATGGAAAATACAACTCTGACAAATCATTTTGTATTCTCAGTTACTCAGTGCCTACTAAATAGCGCTTTAGAGCCCATCCACAGGAAAATATCAATAAATACTTTTGTATCTGCTTATAGAACTATATGATTACCTGAGACGTCTAGAGGCAGTCAGCTACTTAATTTGACTAAAAAGAATTCCCTGTGGAACTTTAGCATTTAAGTCATGATTCTCCAGCACCGCTTACACCAGAGATCGCAGACGTTCTTGCAACAAGGGGCAACATTTCCTAGTCTAGGACAGAACCACCCTAAGAAAAATCAGCACACACCTGGCTTAGTTACTAGGTAAGCTAGTCACTGTGGTTCATCACCTGCTTGTTCACAGGTACAGACAGATCACTGACTTTCAAAACCTTAGAATTAATTTTCTTTTCTGTTTTTTGTTGTTGTTTTCTACTGCTGAGTTTTAAGGATGCTTTGTATATTTTGTTATATTTTAAAATGTTTGTTTATTTTTGGCTGCGTTGGGTCTTCGTTGCTATGCGGGCTTTCTCTAGTTGTGACGAGCGGGGGCTGCTTTGTTGCAGTGCGCGGGCTTCTCGTTGAGGTGGCTTCTCTTGTCGCAGAGCACAGGCTCTAGAGCACGGGCTCAGTAGTTGTGGTGCACGGGCTTAGTTGCTCCGTGGCATGTGGGATCTTCCCGGACCGGGGCTCGAACCCATGTCCCCTGCATTGGCAGGCGGATTCTCAACCACTGCGCCACCAGGGAAGCCCCAGAATGAATTTTCTTAGTTTCAGTGAACTGCCAGCAACTATGACCAAACTTGAAAGGCTGACACCTGTTCAACGATACACGCATCTCCCAATCCCGGGGATTAAAAAGCAGGTTCTGCATACCCAGTCCTTAGTGCCCGGCAGCGTTCCCTCCCCCACCAGGTGTGGCGCGACCCTGTGACACTCGGTGCCAGAATGTGGTGGAGCAACGCGGGACATTCTGCCTGGACACTGACACCATCAGGCAAGTTCTCCCCACACAGAGGAACAGGTTAATGCTCATGTGGATTCAAGAACGTATGGAACCAAGAGCTTCCAGAAAAACAACTTGGTGATAAAATCCAGCCAGCGAAGATGCGAACCAGAGGAAAGTCATCAACAGTGGAAGCCGGGGCAGCAGGTCTGCAGGCAGGCGACAAACCCACAGAAATGCAAGATCCCGACTGAGGGGCGGCAGGAGCTCCAGCAACAAGCCCACCGCAAACCTCCTGGCCCCCACGCGGGTCAGCACACGGGTGGGCCAAGTGTGTGCAGCCCCTCGGCCCCAGCGGCCCCTGGCACACGGGCGCCCCTGGTTAAGGGGGCGGGTCTGCCGTGGTGAGAGAGCAGCAGTTTTATTAGTATCACCGTGATCTTCTGTTTGCCAAATTCGAGGGAAACTGGAACGCTTCTATTTAAAAGACGATGTGGGGACTTCCCTGGTGGCACAGTGGTTAAGAATCTGCCTGCCAATGCAGGGGACACGGGTTCGAGCCCTGGTCTGGGAAGATCCCACGTGCCGCGGAGCAACTAAGCCTGTGCGCCACAACGACTGAGCCCGCATGCCACAACTACTGAAGCCCGCATGCCTAGAGCCCGTGCTCCACAAGAGAAGCCCTGCTTGCCACAACTAGAGAAAGCCTGCACGCAGAAACAAAGACCCAATGCAGCCAAAAATAAAATATAAATAAATAAATTTTAAAAAGTAATAAAAATAAAAGACGATGTGAGTATCTTCGGAAGGTAAGTATCTGGTAATCTGGTTTCTGGGAAGAACCAGGGAATAGAGGTTAAAAGACTTATTCTGGGCTTCCCTGGTGGCGCAGTGGTTGAGAGTCCGCCTGCTGATGCAGGGGACACGGGTTCGTGCCCCGGTCCAGGAAGATCCCACATGCCGCGGAGCGGCTGGGCCTGTGAGCCATGGCTGCTGAGCCTGCACGTCCAGAGCCTGTGCTCCGCAACGGGAGAGGCCACAACAGTGAGAGGCCCACACACCGCCAAAAAAAAAGACTTATTCTTTGTTGTCTACCATTTCTTTACCTATTCCCATACTATTGCTTGATTTTTAAAATCATTTTCTTCTGTAGCCTTTTCTGCACTGCATGAACTTTTTATAAATCTATGTATGTATCTTTGTTTATAAAAACTACAAAGTTGTCGTTCTTGTGCTTCCAGATGCATGTCTGCCCTCCTAGAGGCTCTGTCACAAGTCACTTCCAGGACACACGACTTTAGCATGTCGGACTGTCGCGGGTACTGAGAACCCAGCCTTCCTGGCCGACAAGGTCCTTTAGCCCCAGGAGTCTGGCCCACATTCCCGTGCACTAACTTCCCTCTCACAGCCGGCAAGTCTCCAACAGTCCCCACAGAATCCCTTCTCATCAGAGTTCAAGAGGAAGCTGTCCATTTGGGGATCTGTTTTGGCTACTAGCCAATCAAAGGGACCTTAACGGAGAATCCAGCCAACCAGGGTCTAGTCAACTCCAAATTCTCCTAAGAACCAGCAAACATCCTCATGTGGACTCCCTCCAACCCAATTTTCAATCATTAGAGTTTTCTGACATCACAAACAGTAAGAGCGAGAGACTAAATAAACTTCGTTATATTTTAATGAAATCACTGACAGCACAGCGATGGGTCTGGACAACTCAAGCCTAAGTTAATTATGTCTAAGCCAAGAAGTCAAACACCAGGAAAGAGCAAGCTGGGGGCAGTAGAAGTCAGCACAGGCTTTAACACCAAGGCTTACTTTGGTGCTATTCGTCAAAGTATTATTACTCTAGAAGCTGGTGTGCAAGCTTTTTGGTAAAGGGCAAGACAGTAATATTTCAGTCTTGTGGGCCATACAGACAGTCTCCACGTCCCAAGTTCTCAGCTCTGCCTTTGAAGCATGGAAGCACACAATGTCTAAAAGAATGGGCACAACTGTGCACCCATAAACCTGACTTAATTACGGAAGCAGGCACAACCCTTGACCCAGGGGTCAAGTAATGGCTCTCTTGTGAATTATTTTAGGGAAGCTGGGTGTTGTGAACAGGCACTTACATTTGTGTGCTGTGGGCAAGTGTCGGCTTAGTTACTGTGACTCTTTTTCGGTCCTCAAAGTTAACTTTGCACAAATACAAAACGAAGACGTGGGCAAGAAATGTTTTGAATATGCATTTCCAATCAAGATGGCAAAATCCAAAGAAATTTGTTGCAATGTGAAGCAATTAGGCCAGACAGCAGCAACAGCGCCCACCCCGAAAAGCTGCTGGAAAAGCTGTGAACGAGGTGATAGCATTTTTGACATAAACCATCCAAGTGTACTCACTGTCGTCCCCCGTCAGTCACTCTTCTTACTTTAGATCATGGTTTAAGCACCACTAGCTCTGGCTTCCGAGGGTTTTTCCAACTGGAATCTTAGGTTCCCATGTAATACGGAACAATGACCCTGATAATATCTTCATACCAAAGAACAGAGAAACGAGATCCCTTACTTTGTGAGTTTCTCCACTGAGATGAGGAGAGCCCGCTGACTGCATCAGATACAAACTTTCCCCGAGGAAGACACCTCCCTCCTGTCACCGCTGGCGGGTACGGGATTCCGGCACAGCGACAGTGCAACCCTACACCCAAGCAATAAAGACGACTTTCAATGTGCTTTGCTGGGGCTCCAACGACGATGACTCTGTTCACAGGACACACGTCTGTCTCGAAGGGCGTTTACCCTTCCCCAGGATCACAGGTTCAAAAGCATTTACACACACGCCGGGTGCTGGGCAGGAGACACCACCCCTGATGCCGGGGAGTGTTGGGGCGGGAAGACACCCTAAATCAGGGTGAGCATAGCTCCCCTAGAACACCGTGATGGGAGCAGCAGAGGCCCACTGCAGATCACCTGGCTGCAGAAGACAGAATGAATATGGACAGAATCACGCCCAGGCCCAGCAGTCACACTGCTGAAAACCAGAGATCAAGAGAAAATGGACGCGTTGCGGAGGAGCGAGCGTGTGAGCCATATCCTCCTCGTTAGAAATCACAGCACCCAGAGGGTAGTGGTGCCCAACTTGAAAGCGCTCAGATAAAATACCTGTCAAACCAGAATTCTTGTTTCCAGAAAAAACACCCCTCAGAAACAAAGGCTGAAATGAAGACATTTTTCCGACAGAGACTAAGAGAACCCATCACAAAAACCTAAAATTCACGAAACACCGATGAGAGTTACCTGGACCGAGGGGAAACGACACCAGAGAGAAACCAGCGTCTTTAGAAGGAATGAAGGCCACTGGAAGTGGGGAGCACAGAGGTAACAGATGATCTTTTCCTCTTTCTTTTTAAAAAATACACAAGCCTCCTGGAAGCAGGAACTGATCAACCTGGGCTTGGGCAGTTTGTGCTGCACGACAAACAGGACAGCTTCGCACAGCGGAGCGGGGGGGGGGGGGGGGGG